TGGATTCTTATTTAATTATGTATCCGTAGAGAAAAGGAGCCACATTCATAAAGACATTTGATAATGGTATTATTATGACTAGACGACATTTGTGAGTACCACTCAAGGCTTTGAATGCCTATCAATTAAATCTTCAATGGGTCATTACATTTAACACCAACAGCGACAGACCGAGATAGACAGATCCTGAGCAAAGGCATAGGCATCGGCACATTTTGGATATCGTTTGTATGCCCTATTGTTCCTCTGTCGAACTTCGTGTTCCGAAAAGCATCATTCGTTCCAAAGGGGTTGCTGTTTGCCGTTTATCACAACTTTATCATAAGAAGAAGGTAAGCCCAGCTTGAGCCGGGCGGTACGACTGTCTCTATATACAAAGCGGTACTTTCGTGCGTCTGTTTGTATGCCCGTTTGTGCGTCCTCCTGAAAGTTACGTAGGCCGACGAGAAGTGTGAATGTCACGTGAGCGTGGTGAGGAAACAGTTAAGAAGTGGGAAGTCAACAGATACTGTTCATATTGGTCTTCTAATAAGTCGTAGGTAAGCGGTAGTGGGCATGTGGTGCACGCATTAGCGTGCGAGCCCAACTGGTAATAGATAAACGAGCAACAATAGGAATTAATAAATTACATGATAACAAACAATCATAAAGCATAACAATTACATAGAACCAAACAGAGAGTGAGATCAAGGAGTACATATCCGTGGTGTCCAGGGCTTCGCCCCAAAGAGATAAAAAGCCTGGGGCCCCGTCCTCGGTGGCGAGCTGTAGCCGACTCCCCGTTGAAGTTCTTCTCGGCCGCCGCTTCGCCCTGAAATACCAACATGAGTCATCTTGTAACATTGTCAGCTGATAGCTGCGCTTGCACGGCGCGGCTCACACCTCCCCCCCTTTACCTGAAGTCCGACCCGGACTTTAAGAATGTATACCGAAATAAAGGAAGTCTCTCACCGGAGGTTAGAGGAGGCGCTGTAGATATTTGGGTAGGTCATGTGCTGGGACGACTGCTCCGATGGAGTCTGCCCATTGTAATAGTGTGTTCCATGTGGGAACCTTCCTTAACGACTCGGCATGGCCAAAGACGATCTGCCCATGCCTACAGCGAGAAACGGCTACGTTCAGGCGGCGGTAGTCGTTGAGAAACTCGGCGGTCGCTGGAGAGAAATCAGTTTTGGTTGTAAGCAAGATGACTACCTCCTTCTCTCTCCCCTGTACGGAGTCGACCGTCGTAAGTTCCACGTTCAGGCTGTCCAAGTTGGGCTTGATCTGTCGATATTGTTCTCTAGAAAGGTGATGACACAGATATAACGGGGTGGAATCCCCAAGCGGATAAGATGCTCAAGGAGCTGCTGGCAGGACTGGGCCTCACTCTCATTATAATAGGACTTACTGTGCGCCTGGGCTGATTCCCCTTTCACATCAATGAACATAAATGGAATATTGGGCGCAGGGAAACGCACGGTGGTCAAAAGAATCTGGCGAGACTGCGCTGGGGTACCAGACCGGAATGAGTACAGTGGCGAGGACTTTGTGAGTCTGCTTATTGTCGCCTACTGCGTGTACCGCCGCCAAAGCTGAACATGCGACGTTACAAATCTTACTTAATCGTTGTTCCGATCCAGCAGGATCACGTTGGAAATCATGGAATCGGGCGAGACGATCGGCTAGCTATGCCTTGTCCACCTGGGGTAGCTTGAAGACTGCCAGAGGGGATATGCCTTCATCCGGATGCATAGGTAGGAATGAACGCACAAGCTCAGCTAACTGAGCTCGCGATTCAAAGGACGCGGGAGGTTCGCAAAACCGCATCGCTGCCGAAACGTTCACCCGCGATCTTGCACTTACGACGTCGTGGGTAGCGAGGCGGTGAAGTGGGAAGGTACAGGTGGAAGGCGTCAAGGTGACCGCCTTGGGGCATCCTTCAAATACTGCCCGAGCGTGAATGACTCGGTCAGCACGGATAGTCCGCGACAAGATGATGCCGTAGACGTGGTCAGGGAGGTCGTTCACCGTTAAAAACGCGAAGTGGGACACCCTGAAGAAGAAAACCGATGACGTGTCGAGGGCCATAGTCCGCGGTAATGAGGCCTGTTTAAGGACCGATGCCGGGGACTGCAGTGCTTGCCGCGTGGGTTTTACATTATAAACCCATACGAAGTCTTTAACGGGCATGTGGTTCTTGTTAAAGCCGCGACCGCCGGTAACAATGTCAACGGCATACTGGTCTAGGACGATGCAATGTAGGTCTCGTCGGTCGGAACCAACAATGAAGAAGTCCTTGGCCTCTAGGATTACTCCCGGGCCATATCCTGTGGAGACGACTTGGTAGAGGACCGGATAGGTACTGCCGTATGGAGGAGGTTTAGTGACGTATTTCTGGTATGGGGAAGGCTTGATGTGGGCCGTATCGACATCGCTATAGGAGCCGGATAAAACTTGGTCCATTATTATTTTCGATTTGGCTCGGAAATTGATGGTGTCCTCCAGGTGCAGCAGTTCAATAAATGGGATTGACGCCGGCATCTTATCTGGGCGAAGGACTGCCTTCGGGAAGCGACCTGTTGAACCGTGTCGACAAGTAACCTGAGCTCGGTAAATGACGGTACACCTCGACATCCAAGACGGAACTTACTGGTGGGCAGTCCTAGCGGAGTAGACGAATTGGACGGGGGTTGACGTACTTTACCCAGGGGTGCAGCTCTATAAGCTAGTGAGAGAACTCAGGAGGTGTTACTTGAGGCAGCTTCCAATTGGGGAAGGGGTCCTGGGGGATACTGGCGGGCTCGCTTGGCTCCTCGTCCACGGAGAGAAGCGCCCCGCGAAGAAGTATTTCGCGAAGAAGCACCTCGCGAGGGAGCACCTCGCGAAGAGGACGATGGCGGACTGCTGGTGCCGGCGGTGGACGATGAGGAGACCATTTTCATGGTAAATGGGCCACGACCTCGCGAAGAGACTCGAGAACCGCGGGAATGTTGGGGCGCGCCTTGCGTGCCCCGGGTCGGGAGATCGCCGGGGGGTGACTGGTGACTGGCCGGAGCGGCTCGCTTCACCGTGGCTGGAGGGGTCTGCGGGGATCCAACAGCGGGCTCAATTTCTTTCGGCTGTATCATCGACAACTTGGACATTGATGCCGTCATACTACGCATGGAGTCAAGATTGGAGGACGCCACGGATGGTGAAGAAGAGCGTCGAGAGATCATCGAAGATGCGCCAGGAGATTCAGTTACGTCATGCATCGTGACATCCTCTGAAACAGATACTGGTGAGCTTTTCAGCTGCGCGGACGCGGTGGAATCAGCAGAAACAGTGATGCTTACGTACTGAGAGGACTGAGGAGCATCAGATGGAGCACAAGAAATAATCGTCGTTTCAGCCGCCACGCGACTTTGACAAGTAACAACAGAATCAATAGAAGAAACAATAGAAGATGAAAAAGTACATACCGGATTCATACCTGGATCCGGATCGGGAGGAAGCGGTGTTTCCTCCATAGTGAGCGAAAATATCGATCACGATCGCACAGAAAGAGAGCAGATAACAAAAATAATCACCTGAAAAGAGAGTAATGTATTGAAAGTATTTAACATAAAAGAAAGTCTAGAGTGTTAACTACGAATATGGAAAAAGAAAGAAAGAGCAATGTATGTGTAATATGTAGATAAAATATATGTGTATATAATAGGTAGAACAATATGTAATGTGCGCAATGGTACGTGGATGTTTGAAAGAAAAAACGGGCAGCCATACGACGCTGCGAAGACTAAGCAAAAATGAAATCAAAAGCATGAAGGCGAGGTGGCTATGCAATTATATTCGTAAAACGTAAGGCGAGCAAGAGGTTGAAAAAAAAGAAAAAAGAAGGCAGGAGTAGATTACGTGTAAGGCTGGCGATGATTGAGTAAATCAATGGTCGATAGGGGACGTGGCATCTCGGAAAGGAGGCTGCGTCGGCTATGGCATTTGAAGACGTGCGATCGACAAAGCTGCGAACGTAAACAAAGAAGCGATACTGTGCGGCGGACATGGGAGAAGACATTTAAGAAAGGAAACAAATTCGGAAGGAAATGCATAACATAGTATTAGAAATAATCGTCGAATCTGACCAACAGGTCAAATTGGCTGCTTTCATAGTCCGCCGGCCGGCCGGCCGGCGTGCCTGCGGAGGCAGTGCTAGGGGGAGGAGGGAGGCAGACAGATAGGCAAACAGTCCACGCCCCTTCGAGGGGTTGAAAACAAACAACCTTCGAAGGGGTGTGGACTGTTTGCCTTACACTGTCTGCCTCCCTCATCCCCCCTAGCACTGCCTCCGCCGGCACGCCGGCCGGCCGGCCGGCGGACTATGAAAGCAGCCATTCAGGTACGTCGAGACCTGTAACGCGTATTATATGAGTGGGTCGGTGATTGGTTGATGGAGGCGGTGGGCGGGGCTTCGGCTGCCGTATGCTCCTAACCGTCTATAGGATTTTCCAACGCATCGGCTGCGGTTAGCGCCACTTGTTCGATCTCAGGCAACCAAGGAGTTGTAAATACAGGACCTGACAAGGTACAACATGGTTTAACCTGATTCATGTGCACCTTCTTAGGCGTCGATTGCGGCGATTATCAGATAGATAGATATAGGTACTGATTATCGTTAAGTGTGGAGGTTCCACCTTAAGCACCCGAAGTTGCCCCAACCATGGGTAGCATGACTTTTGTGACAGTCCTACTTTAGGGGCTAGGTCACGGAGATGAACACGGTCGCCTTCCTTGATGGGGAGAGGAAACAGGTGAGAACCGTCGTACTGTGCCTTAAATTTAGCTCTTTGGTGTTCATTATGAGCGATTGCTGCGCGCCAAGCGGCATGAAGGGTAGCAACAATATTTTGCACGTAACATCCTGATTCATCCGCTGGAATGTGACGCTCAGAATCATGCCGTATAAGGAGATCAATATTAAATACTGGGTTACGCCCAAACATGAGGAAGAAGGGAGTATTGTTAACACTGGCGTGAATAGAGGTGTTATACATGAACGCGCAGGCACAAACGTATTTATCCCAGTCGAGTTGGTTTTCATTGATATAGGTGCGGAGCATAGGGTGGAAAGTAGCAAAGATACGCTCGCAAGCACCGTTACCCTCGTGGTGGTGGGGAGTACAATAGTGCCTGTGTATGCGGAGGGAACCTCCTATTTCTGACATTACCTCGCCTTCAAAATAGGAAGCGTTATCAGAGATGAGTTGAGTCATTACGCCGAACTTTAATATACATTCACAAACAATGGCTTGCGCTACCGCAATCGCCGTACAATCGGGTAAAGGGGTGGCGATAACATATTTAGAAAAGTGGTCGATCATTGCGAGAATGTATTTATTACCCGATTCAGACGTGTGGAGCGGGCCAGTTAGATCAATGTAAACTTTATCAAAGATTGCTCCGCTTACAACGGGAATAAGTGCTTCACGGTCAGCTACATTGGGTCTTTTGCGTTGGCATTCTTCACAAGCGCGTGCCAGCGTAAAAACATCTTCGCCCATATGGGGCCAAAAATATTTGCGTGATATTTTCGCTAGTGTTTTTTCCAATTGAAGTGACCGCCACTCGTGTGGAATGCCAAAAAAATAGGTTTCTTCAATTTGTCAGGCACAAGTAGGCGTTCGAAACGGAAGGGGTTATCTACGTAATAGACGCATCCATTGTTCCGTTTGACGCATTTCTCTGCAACTGCTAGCCATGCGGACTTTTGTTGCTCACTGAGAGAAGAGGGGAATCGCTGCGTTTCTATGAAAGATAAAATAGCAGAGCAAAACTGGTCATTCCTTTGTTCCTGAAGAGCATCGTACGGCCGAATTGCGTGTAGAGGGCCGACAAAATACGGAAGGCCGTATCGAATAAGCAGTGGGAAGGACATTATTGATACTTACGGGGAAATCAACTATATCTTCCGCCTCGGGCGAACCATCTTGAAATTTGACACGTGAATTGGCATTACAGGAAAGGGCATCGGACATTGGATGACCCCTTCAGATACTCTATGGAGACGTCGTAGCTCTGAAGCTCTACGACCCAACGCGTCAAGTTATCGTGGGTTTTATTATGCTTCAAAAGGAACGTCAAGGGGCGGTGATCTGAGTACACTGTAGCGTGATTACCGCAGACTGTAGGACGGAAGAAACGTAGTGCACCACCGGTGGCGAACAACTCTATATGGGTAAGACTCCATTTTTGTTGGGAATCAGAGAGCGTCTTGCTGAAATAGCCAATAGCCGCTAGCTGAGAATCAGTGTCCGAAAGACGTTGGAATAAGGCTGCTCCTACCGCATATGGCTACCGTCGGTATGCAGGTAAAATTCCTTATCCCGTGGAAATCTTAAACATGGTTTGGATGTCAATTGAAGCTTCAGACGTTCAAAAGCTTCCTGTTGTTCGGTTCCCCATACGAACTTTGCCTTATCTTTAGAAGGGCGTATAGAGGTGATGCAATTAACGCAAAATTTGGGATAGACTTTCAGAAAAAGTTGGCCATTCCCACGAACCCTTTCACGGCCTTTGTGGTAGATGGAGTGGGGAATTCTCGAATGGCTCTTACATTTCTGTCCGCGGGTGAGTAGGAAGAGCCTGAAATCTCATGACCTAGGAAAGTAATGCGGGTGCGCGCTATTTCTGTGAGTTTTTTGCCGGATGCTTTGATGTTAAACAGGCGAAAGCGATAAAAAACCTTACGTAAAGATTGCAAATGATATGGAAAGTCCCTATCAAAAATGACAATGTCTTTGAGATAAGCAAGGCAGTTACTTTCTAACCCTGCTAGAATGCGCACCATAGCCCTAGAAAAGTACGCTCCCGCATTTTTGAGACCGAAGTGGAGGTAAACAAACTGATAGGTACCGCGGTGTGTCGCCCAACCGCACTTTTTCTGACTCTCCGGAGAAAGGAGGAGTTACTTATAGCCGGATGCCAAATCAAGAGTGGTATAGAACTTATGGTCTGCGATTTTCGCTAGAATATCCTCAGTGCAAGGCAACGGATAGTGATCGGGTACTGTAACGCTATTCAGGGGACGAAAGTCCAAACATACTCTTAGGGAACCATCCTTTTTCTTGACTAGCACGGTGTTGTGAACCCATGGGGTATCGCTTTCGACGATCGCCCAGCACGCAGCAACTTATTGATGTGATCATCGAGCTCCTTCTAAAATTTAAGTGGGATGCGAGTGGGGCGAAATCGGATTTGAGGATTATCAGTTGTCGTTTTAATAACGATTTCCGACTCCTCATAGGAACCGAGATCATAGGAACTAGTTGAGATACGATCGCGAAATTCGTAAAACAATTGAGCTAATTGATTTCGTTATCCTCAGACACCTCTGCGGAAGACAGATCGACGTTGAAAGTACATATCAGTACTAACCGTCGTTTAAGGCCGGTCGGCCCTTGCTACAATATCTCCTACAAAAGGAGGTAAATCAGGATGAACATGAGAAATGAACACTGAGTCAGTGGGATTAAGCGGAACAGCCAAGATATCTGTTGCCCTTTATAGAGGGTTTCTGGTCTTGACGATGCGTTGGAAACCAAAAGAAGTGGGTCAGCTGCATTAACAACCGCCGGAGAGATCATCAGTGATTTATCTGATTCAGTTTTTCATTTTGGGAGACCAACACGAGCGAGATCTGGTTGATTTGTTCTGTTACGCAATGCACTAGTGTCTCGGATGACGGGGGTAGTACGGTAATTTCTGCTACGCGGATAGGTATCTATTGCTCGGCGGCTGGGGGCGCGTCTGCAGGGGTCGCACATAGAATTTTCAAGCGATTATCCGCAAAACGCAGGGTACAGTTATTATAATCAATAGACCACGGCGGCAAGCGCCTTAGAAGATCGTTACCGAGAATGATATTGTAAGCGTCCGCCACATCAGGAATACAGGCTGACTTAGTAAAATAGACGGCGTGCTCAAAAGATAGGGAACCGATTTTGAACGAAAGAGTTGCAAATCCTAAAAGCTGAACAGGGACTCCCGCCATACCAACCGCACTAGTAACGTCGCTTTGAAGAAGCTTAAAAGCCCCGAAGAGAGGAATAGTATCGACAGAAGTGAGAGTAATGGATGCTCCGGTGTCAACTAAGGCTAAGACTTGCACTTGATTTATACGAATAGGTATTTGAGCCACAAAAGCGATCACGATGAGATAAATACAGCACATTTACGGAGCTCATTATTGCATGAGGAGGCCAAGACGAAGAGGCATCAATTTTAAGACATGCCAGTTCTACCGGCTGAGAAGAGATACACGATACCGAGGGGCGAGCCTGCGTTATTACAGGCTCTGTTTGACGATTAGAAGCAACTGAGAGCGGGAGCTGCTCTCGGAGACGTGGGAGCAGCCCAGGATAATATATATTGCAATATAGAATAAGAAACGTTTTAAGTAAGCGAAGAGTTACAAAAATACCACAAAAAGTGATCCAAAGGTCGAAGGCTGACCAAGGACCAAAAACCGTAGTCCAAAGCGAAAACGAACGAGTATTATGCAATACAGAATTGAAAATCGGTTCTTTTTCATTGGTTACACGAATATACGAAAGGTGAACAGTAGACATAGTAGTCCACAATTCTTGCCATTGATGATCTTGAACTAGCTCGCTCAGGTTAGTCAAAATCAGGTTATGAAAGACTGTAAGGGGAAGAGCTAGTGAGGAAGAGTTAAAAGTAGAGGGGATATCGATGCTAGGAACGATATTATAAGGAATCAACTGAGAACTACCTGGTGTAGAATCAAATTTAAGAAAGGAATTTTCACGTTTAATGTAAAAATATCGAACTGTAGAGCAATCAACGGGATCTGCCTGTTGTGAAGCGACTAAAGTAGCAGGATCAAGAAATGATAAAATGGCTCTACCAGACGGAGGAGTAATTTTGACTAAAGGTTCAGAAAAACAATTGCCATTAAAGGGAATCAATTTGAGATTGTTTGCAGGGATTGCCATACAGCGATGAATTTGTACCAAGTCGGTACTCAAGAAAGAGGCTGCGATATCAGTGCTGAGAGTAGGGTTAGCAACTAGAGAAGTGTGGAGAGCGAAAGCTAAGAGATTTGTTCTATCACAAAGCGACAATAATGCGTGGTGAAAAAGTGAAAACACAGCAGAACTTACCGAACCCTCTACTGCGAGAAGCTGCGCGGCCAATTGATTAGAAGTCACTGTGCCGGTATCCAGATCTGCCGATCTCGGACGACGAATAACTGGTGCCACAGCATAACCTTGATCCGAGACGATAAGCCGTGCTCCGCAATCTGGAACGCGATCGCTGGATTCGCGCCAGGATAGAGCAAACTCCTTAGAATCACTGATCCAAATTTCGCCCAGTTGGCGGCCCTTCATTTTCATGACCGGTGTGAACCGGCACGATTCTTGCTTGTTGGGGGTCCAAAGAAGGATTGACCCGTCCTGGAGTACGCAATTACCTGACTCATAGGTACATTGTGCTAGATTTCCAACCGTGGAATCGGGAGAAGTAGCTCCGTGGCGCATGTGAACTACGGTCGGAATAAGATAGCAGTTGGAAACTGCTACATTGCGTTCTGAACAACACCCGAAGGGAGCTGAGGGCCATTTAATTATAATTGAGTTCGAGGTTGCCCAAAAGTCATTTGACCGAGTCATGCTACCGTATCCACACTTATGATGTTGGATCATCAGCTTGCACGACTCGAGGGACACTACGGAGTGAGTTTCTGTAGTGTTTTGGTACCGCGCTCCGAAAAAATTCACCGAGAAGGTGACGGACTGAGTGACAGCTTTGCACAAATGGGCTGCAGTGTCATAGCGCCGTGTATTGGGACGGTAAATATGAACCGATAGAGCTTTCGGGGTCTCTTCAACTGGGAGAATAATCCATGAACAATTGTAGGACGTTGGGATGCGCGCAAGTGCATTCGCTGGGTCATGCGGGCATAACCATGCCGACGTCGAGAGTGCTTCGCTTGATGCGAAACATAACAGCATAGAAACCGCGAAAAGCAGCTTAACTTGGGGCATCGGGATAGAAGACGAACGAGAAGACGATGGCCGAAAGCAGAGTTTGCTAACTCCTCTTGCGCTTTACTAGGGCATTGACCCTAGCGTCAGATCTTTCCAATGCAGACTGGTTTTCTTGCAGAGAAATCGAGAGAGCTCTGATCTGATCGCGAGCCTGCGAAAGCTCTCTATCCCTATCATAACGAGAAGGGGGAATACCATCACGGGGTGAAAAACGAGAAAAATTGCCGTCGTTCGACAAACTGCGAAAAGAAGATTTACCTGGCGCTCGGCGTGTAACTCGAGGAGACGGGCACTGGCGAGAAAAAAGACCAACACCTCCACAGTTAAAACAATTAGTCGTTGCTTCCGCCCTCACAGGACGCGTGGGCAATCGCCCTCTTGGTTGTTGACTAAAGTGCGCCTGCCCACGGTTAAATGGGCTTCTGCGCCTTTCATAATTCCTGGAACTTTGCTGCGGGGGTGCCGCCGCCTTTACCTCTATCGCTTGGGTTGGTAGCGAGGGCCTGATGAGACGGTCGGCAGTGGCCTCAGCTAACAGTTGCTCGACCATTTGGGCTTTCGCCACAGCTTGCTCAAATGTTGACGGGTTGTCAAGCTTTACGTAATAGCGAATGTCGGGACGCAACCTCGCTACAAACTCCTCAAGCACCCCATCCTTCTGACTAGCCGGGTCCTGACCGTAGGTAGCTGCCCGAACCAGCAACAAAAGTTTATTGGCGAAGGTGGATGCTGATTCTCCCGTCTGTTGCTGGCAGGAAGATAGGGCTTGACGGGCCATATACCGATGCTGAGGACCTTCAAAAGACTTTTTCAGATGCGCGACTACCGAAGAGTACTCCTCACGCTCATCGTCCGTGAGTTCCTCAGCCTTTCCCCTTGCTAAACCATCCAAGAATCCCGTAAGGAAAAATGCCTTCTGCTGGGACGTCCATGTGGTAGACCTCATGCGCATTATATCCTCTAGGCGCCTTAGCCACAGTGAAAATTGGAGTGGATCTTCTCCAGATCCAGAAAAGGGGACTATGCGTGGTAGGGGCCCGTCCGGGTTCACCGTAGCCACTAATGGTAGAGAATCAATGCGCTCACCTACAGCAGCGAACGAATTATTAAGATCCGAAAGCAAGCCCGAATTGCCCTCGTTAATTGTTTGGGCGAGCCTTGTTGCCCCCGCCCTGGCTTCCTCCCGAACTTCTCCTATGGCCAGTACCGTGGCATACCGAAGGTTCTTGGCGTCTCTTCCTCGAACCGTAGCTCTGTCATTTAGATCGGCTAACGCTCCAGCCAGGTTAGCGGAAGCTGGCCAGTCGGAATCTGGTCTTGGTGTCAGGGCAACCACGGCCCTAGATTCGGTTGACTGAGACCGGGTCACGGGAGGTCCCATGATCCCACACCCAAATATGAAAGAACACGACAGCAAACAAAGCTTGAAAGAAAAGTCAAATGAAAATGAAAGCTGAAGGGAATAGCTCTTTTCAATGTGTCGGGGTGGGCGGAGCCAGCCAATGAGAGGTCGCTACCGTAACCCAGAGAGTCAGTTCCCGGGGCTGCTTTGAATTCTTTCATGCTGCTGATCAAAATCTGATTCATCCCGATGTCAGGAATGATGAGGCTTGGGAACAAGCCGAGAATTCAAAACATTCAATGAGAACAGTCACCCTATCTAGCGCTTAATCTTTGATGGCGCCGATGAACTGCTGCGGCAGGGAACAAAGAGCGGCAAGCGGTGGGAAAGCGTTTCGAAAATTTAACGGCTGGAAACGTTGCCGTTCGTGCTGAGAGACAAGATCACAGGTGAAATCACCAAACAAGGGTTAAGATATACGTTATGCACGAGCAACATCAATTATCGAAGTTAAAATTGTATAAAAAGAATATAGATGATGCTTGAATGGATAGACCCTAGTCTCAAATGGGTGAGCGGGTGAATAGTATTAGGTACCGCTAATGAGTAATAAGAAGAGAGCGATTGTTACATATATTTCATGTCGAACGTATCAAATGTCAAATGTCAATGTATTTACTATATGTCAAAAGGCGAGTTAGAAGCAGATGCGGCGTGACCTGATTCTGGTGATTATCGCTTTCGTGTGATGGGTAAGTGTTGACGCACTCTTCTTAATGGACTCACCATATGCGGACATAGGTCAATGCCGCCGATGACAATGTGTTCTAAAACGCCAGGAGGCGATGGCCACACGTCTCCTAATATAGAACTTTTGGGGAGCCGGCCAAACTAAAGTGAGAGGGACCGAGAATCATTAGTGGGACTGATTCGGTAAAACGGCTGCAAATTAACCACGCGGCTCGATACTCTGGACAATTGATCTTTGATTCGGACCGTGCGGGTCCAAACGAGTGAAACCTGTTAAAAAAGATACCACCATGTCGAAAATGATAAGACTCATTTAGCTCACGACTATGGTTTTCAATTTGACAAAGATTCTGTTTTTTGTTTATTTTTGTTATTTTTTCTCTACAGGTGAATAAATATATATCCCGGGAAAACCTCCACATTTGACTTCCTCTAATAGGCCTACCTAAACCTTTTCTCCCGCCGTCAGAAACACGATTTAACGTCCCTCGAACTACCTAACAACAGATTAATAACTACCAAATAGAACTTAATTGCGGCGATACACGGCTCACTCCACTCACTAGGGTACCCTCGCATATGCTGACCACCATTTGGGACGATCTCCTTAATTTACATCTCAGTCGAACTTCTTCCGGAACTGCTTCTCCTCTTGCTATACGCGCGTCTGACAGTTTTAGACCCCTGTCGCGGGTGCAGTGCACTTCTACAGTCTAGAAAGATTGTTCGTTATGGCAAGGAAGACCGTCTCCCGCTCACTCACAGATAGGCCTTTCTAACTCGCGGAAACCTAGAACTAGCTGGACTAGAAAAACTTAGCCAGAAAAGAAAGTTCCTAAAAAAGCAAACGCCAGCTGCAGCGTTACGGTACGTTCCTTGCCATGAGTCGACTTTGAAGACGAAAGAAGCTGGAAAAGAACCACGGCTGGTAACTGGACAGAACGGGCCCTTTCTCATCCAATCCAGCCGAGACACCTGAAAAGTCACCTGGAACTCCACTACCTCCTACAGCGAGGGGGGAACCATTCACTGCTACCAGTGAGCTCGCGCGCACAGGGAAGCGGGCTCAATCTCTGCTTCTGTAGGAAAACCTTTAAATCATACATAATTTAGTTCTTCTCGGTCGCCGCTCCGCCTTGAAATACCAACATGAGTCATCTTGTAACATTGTCAGCTGATAGCCGCGCTTGCACGGCGCGGCTCACAGACAGTCTGTGTCGGCTTGTTTGGGGTGTGTGTCAAGTCGTGCGTCCGAGGGCGCGCGCGGCAAATTGCGCGGCGAAGTTCGTGACGAATTTGGACGACTCCGGCGCCTATCATTGGGGCCCAAATCTGAAGTAGGGTAGATTAGTAAGGTCAGCTGATCCTACTAATCTACTGTACTTCAAAATTGGGCCCAAATAATAGGCGCTAAAGTCGTCAGAGTAGGTATGAATTTCGCCGCGCGCGCCCTCGGACGCACGACTTGAAGTTCCCCCGCTTGTTTGTGTTAGTGTGGTGTGTGTATGTGCCTGGTGTCGGTGTCGCTGTGCGTTGGTGCCGGAGAGTGTATTAGGGTCTGTGTCGCTGTGTGTGTAACGGTATGTGTGAGAGTTGGCGTGTTTATGTATGTGCCTGTGCCTGTGGAGTATGTGTCACCTCGTGCGTCCGAGGACGCGCGCGGCAAATGGCGTGGCGAAGTTCGTGGCGATTTGGACAACTGCGGCGTTTGTCATTGTGGGACAAACTTGAAGTAGAGTAGATTCGTAGGATATCGCAGAAATGCAATGGAGGATTAGAAGGCAAATTTTGGGTAAGGGAAGTCATTTGAATATTTACATCTGGTAGCCACTTTCTTCTATCCCAATGCGGTATTGATCGTCGGTAGTAGGCGTCCCGAACAAACAAGTGTGATAAACATAAAAACAAAAAACAGAAAGAAAAACCAGTCAAAAAAGAAAGGCAGTCAACGATGAATGTGGTGCCCTATGGATCGAGGGACTGTACATTCGTGCGATTCGGGTTCCGCGCGGCAAATTGCGCAGCGAAATCCGTGGTGGTTTGAACGACTGTGGCGCCTATTATTTGGGCACAAACTTGAAGTAGAGTAGATTAGTGTGGCCATTTGATCCTATCAATCTGCTCTATTTCAGATTTGGGCCCCAGTGATAGCCTACAGAGTCGTTTTAACCAACAATCTGCCGCGCGCAGCCAGAATCGCACGAATGTGCATACACTCCTATGGATCGGCCGGGAGGCGAGCGGAGTACGGTAAATGAAGTGCGAAGCCGCGAGAAAACTAGAAAAGATTTGCCGTATGCCGCAAAGCGGACTTGGGAAATTGGGAAGAAGGTCCGCCACCCGTACTGTTATATAATGTCGCTATGTGTACGTGTGTGTTGGTGTCTGTTTGGTGTCGAAATGTGTGTCGGGTGTCTGTGGGTGTTGGTGTGCTTGTGTCAGTGTCTGGCTTTGTATGACCGCTTCGGAGTTCGACGACCGTCCGTCCGTCCGTCCGTCCGTTCAACGCGTGCGCGATGGCGGTCGCTTGCGTGCTGCGACGACGGCGCTAGAGTAGTGTTGACAGCGCTGGCACGTGATCTAGTGTTGTCAACAACGGTCAGGCGCCGCCGTCGCAGCACGCACGCGACCGCCGCCGTGCACGCGTTGAACGGACGGACGAACGGACGGTCAGATGAATCGTTGAGTTCTAAAAGCAGCCTATATGGCGGTGGTGGTGTGTGTGTATCGGGGTGTACGTCGCTGTGTGTGCATCGGTGTGTGTTGACATGTTTGTCAGTATATATATATATATATATATATATATATATGTGTCATTGTATGTGTTGAGTTTTTGCGACAGTACGTGTCTCGGTGCATGTGTGTGGTTGATAAAGAGTCAACGAAAGCGTTAGGCACTTGCTATGTCCGTGTGTTTGCAGTGAATCTTTGCTTATTTTGTAGGTGTGTCTAGTGTGAAGACATCGTATAGGTGCAGTGCAGATTAGGAGATACCTTACACCTTGGTTGGTTATGGGAAATATTATTCCACTATATATAATCCTCTAAGTGTGCCTGTTGGCTTGTCGGCGTGTGTATTTTTGATTGGAAATTCATAACTGTTGTTCCCCCCCCCCTCTTCTCTGACCTAGAACGTTAAAATTTGGAAAGCTCGAAAATGGTGCAAGCGGCAGGATGGATAGACTGATAGTGGGTGATGGGAAAAGATAGCAGTTGGTAGGAGCGCATGAGGAGCTTCAGAATGCGAAGGCCGCGGGATCCGCATTAACCTTCTGGTAACGGTGGAGCCGTGTTACTTCAGCAAATGGTGTGGAATAAGAATGGACCGTAGATTTTGCCTAACAGAGAATGATAGGAGTTGATAGGGGCTTATAACGAGCCATAGAACGCGAGAACTACGAGTCCTGTAATGCACTGTCACCAGTAAGTGGAGTTTTTGCATTTTACTAGCTCGTGCAGGCTGCGAAGCGACCGTAGGTGATTGGTGAAAAGAGCTGATAAGAAGCTATGAGGGCTGGCAAAGAGACATGGAAGCCTGGATTGGCATTTCAACAGATGATGTAGCGTGCGACGAGGGCGTAGGTACACTGAACAAGATCTGATAACTACTGATAGGATCTGTTAAGAGGCCTTAGAGAGCAACAGGAAACTACCCAACAAAGACCTTACAGTTTGCATTGACGATCTAGCTTTGACTCTTTCATATCTTTCATTCGATAAGACGGGTCAGTGTATTAGGGATCGAATGAAAGCTCTATATTATAGAGAAATATAACTTCGGTTCACTTCCTTCTTTCAGTTTACAAACGCTACCAGGCAAGGTTGGTGACTCGATGAAGAACAAGGTCGATGATCTACTTTTACTTCCATATCATTTGCGACGAAATTTATCCGACGGTCAATGATCTGGGATTCTCAGCTAATGATGTACGCTCAGAGGAAAGATGTTCCACGATAATCACATCTGATAATGGTGTTGTCATCACTAGGCAACTTGTGTGTACCAATCATGCCTTTCATAGCCTAAACTTGAATCTTTGATGGGTGATTATTTTTAACATGATGAGCAACAACTTCTAATCATAAGTATAAGCATCGACACATGCTAAACACCACTCGCCCTGCCCTGTCAGAACTGTGTCAAATTTCGTGTTCAGAGAAGTATCATTGTTCCGGAGGAGGAGCTGCCGCCAAGCTTATTACTACAACTCTGCTTTTAGAAGGAGAATTGCAGCAATCAGCCTGGCAGAGTTGTAAAAAGAAGAAGAAGAAAATTAAAAAGAAGAAGAAGATTGAACCGGACGACCTTGCAAAAGAGTTATAAACGTTTCTTAAAAGGAGCTGATAATAGCTGATTATTCTTATTGTCAAGCGCTCGCATCTGTTTGTCTGCGTATCTGTCGCTTGTCGTTTTATCACGGAATCCCATGTTACTTCACAAAGTAAAACCAGAGGTCGGGTCAGGTTTGTGATGAGTGGGATCCACGCGAAGATCAAGAAAACAGTTAGCGATAATTATGGGGTGTCTAGTTCATGATAATCACGGGCTATCTAGCTTTAGGCGAGGATATCAAGTAGTAGGTTCATGAAGCCTATATCTGAATGTGTAGTGGACCTCTGGGATTCTTTGGTCTAGATACAGTACTCGCCGTAAGAGTTCGAAAATTCATGCGAATGCCGCGAATTCTCGTCTTTTTCGTCTTTTCGCCATAAGTTGGTTCAGAGTGGAGTATTCAAAGAGATTAGGATACCGTTGAGCTCAGCTCGTCAAGCTCTACAAGATGATACCCTTAAATGTTGAAAGTGCTTTACTTTGTATCTCGCCATGCACTTGAGTTCCATTCGAAAAGTGATTGCACGTAAATGGGGTGCACGCTTTAGTGCTCGTAGGGCTGATTGGTCCCCGAAGATGGTGTGTTCAGAATTTGCTTTGGATTGTGCCACGTACTCGACTTTACTTAGTGCAATGTGAGAACGATTGATCGATTTAGTTCAGTCTCCATCATTCATTTCTAATGTGGTGGTTGTAGATAACTGCGTCTACGGTCTCTGCACTCGACACTCCTCCTTACAGCTTCTATTGAGAATATGGCACCAATTTACGGCAAAATAGGGAAGTCGATTTTTTTGACATTTTCCAATTTTTAGAGGAAGTTCTCTCCGGAATTTGAGGAGGCGGCAACGAGACACTAGTATCGTGGACTACTCTTTGAATTCTGTGAGGCTGTTATGGTCTGTTATGGTACACCTTATCAAAAATCAACATTCCTCCTTTGACATGGCCCCAAACTTCGGTGAGAAGGTGGGGTCATTTGAGCTCCGTTCCTACGACCCCACCACCGTCCCTTCAAACAGCCCCAAAACTCCCATTCAAACTGGGACACGTGAATATCACCATTTAGTATATGCAACCTTCAATTCTATCGTCGATGAAACTGGGCCACTTCGCAAACGTAGCGCGCAACGAGCCAACAATCTCAAGAACGGTCACAACGGTCACGTTTGAATAGCGGAAAGGTTTTTTGCGATCTGGGTTATCTTCCCGCGAGTAGAATATGGAGTACGGCATAGAGTGCTAAAATCTTCTACAACTTATCTTCTGAGGGCAACCCTTCCTGTTCATCTTCTTTTGTCAGGCCTGGGAAGTAGATTTAGATCGCTTCATTCTGCTTTCACTCCGTTCTTCTACGAAGGTAATTACGGCAACAGGAACTCTACGAAGGGGTTTCTGGCAACCTCGACTTTTCGGAAGGTAAGCGAGCTAACATGATCTTCCCCTCAAGCCTCTCGAGCTCTACACCGTTGTCGTGTGCAAGCAGCGTAACTATCTTATGGAGTCTCATGAGAGGGACTCTCTTGCTTTTTTGTTGCATTGAGATGGAACTTTTCGAATCTCCTGTTTGCATCGAAAAAAATTTTTTTTGAAAATGATCTTTATCTCTCATTACATGTATACACAATCAGTGTTTTTTAGTGTCTTTCTAGTGTCTTTCCGAATAACTCAAACCTCAAGATCTAGCGCTCTAAGTTAAATGTTCGCTCGCGGGAAGTCATTCAGTCTGAAGAGCCTTTCAATGACATCGTAAAGCACTCTCGAGATGGTGCGACGATGCCCGGCGAGATTGCTGCCTTCCCTATCGCTGCAACGACAGCAACTGCTACATAGTATAAGTAGTTGGATAGCCTGGCTAGGGTTTGCTCTCTCCTATCACAAAGTGGCAATACAATGGTTCATCCTTCATGACCCTTTTCAAATGAATCATATCTGAGTACAAAACTCTTGAAGAGGGATTTCTGTAACTACGTAAGCACTACAAGTTTGACACGAAGCACACTCTTTCTTTTACGGAAAAATTCATCATCTCTCGTCCACGATCTTGAAGAACATTAAGGACTTAATCATTCCCTCCTCATATGCGCACCGACCTTTCTACAGCTGACCAACCTGGTTGATCAAGTGAAGCCTCGAATGGTTTTGGGTTGATGCATGAGTTTTTTCCCTGGATTTAATTCTCCGTATTTCGTTTGCATGGATATTGGTATATCGCCATCATGTGTGCGTAACCTGTGCATAATACTCTTTCATCAAACTGGCTACCACTCGCCCACCCTGCACTTGAAGGTCACAATGCCTCACAATCACCGCTGTAACAGAGTGTACCTGCGCCATGGTCTGGTTTTGCTTAACGGTTCCGGCTGGAATGCAAAGGAAATCCACATCAAGCTAATGGAGACATACGGCGAGGACGTCATCCCTCGTCGCACATGGAAGACTTGGTTCGCTGGATTCAAGAAAGGAAACTTTTCTATCGAAGATGCTATGCTATGCGGGAAATGGCGACCATGCTCGGCTATAATCAATCGACGATTCTACGTGGACTGAACCAGCTCGGCGAGGTAGCAAAGCTTGGTCGATGGGTCCCACATGAACTGTCCACTTATGCATTAACCAGTTGGGCTACGCACGCCAACGCGTGCACCACATGCCCACTACCGCTTACTTAGACTTTCACAACAATAAATGAATTGATCTTTCATCTCTTCATAATGAAAGAACTTTAAGCAAACCTTATCAATGCGCTTACCTTTTCCCTCTTTCTTTGAAACAAATGATCCTTCTAGACACACGGAACCTTATAGATGAGTAAAAGCGCATGCAAACAATATTCAAAATGTGCCGATGTCTATGCCATTTCGTCTGTCACTGTTCATCTCGAAAATATCATAAAATAGGCATCGAAAGCTTTGCATGGTACTCACAAATGTTGTCGAGCCATAATAATACCATTATCAAATGTCTTTATGAATCTTTATGAATCCTTTTCTCTACAGATACATCATTAAATGAAGATCCAAGACTATTAGCGATCGGATAAGTTTTGCCATGAATTGTTTATCAAAGCATAGAGAAACCGTGATCCTTCATTGGATCGCGAACTTCGCTTTGTAGCGGTCGTAAGCAAGAAGTGAATCAAATTTTATCTCCTCATAATAGGTTCCTATCACTGCAGCTACCCTTCTTGTCGAATGAAACATATCAAAAAATCAAAGCTAAGTCGTAAATAATAAAGGCGCTGGGATCTAATTGGTGATTGATCTTGTTCTCTAAGGCCTCTTCTATCGTCAGTGTTCCTCCTGCCTCCTCCACTCCTATTGATTTTGCTCTCCAAGTCCACGGGATCAGGAATTATGGATTTTCGCTCGGACATTTATTTCGCGCACACCCCGCCTCCTATGGGCGGGGTCCGGTCCTCTCACCTACCATAAGTGTCCCCATCCTGCCGCCAGCTACTCCAGCCAAGTTTGAACGCCCTAGGGCCAAACTAATAAATTTGGCGCAAATCCCGCCCCCTGTAGAGACGGTCCGGTCCTGCCACCCGCCATAAATATTCTCATTCTGCCTCCAATAAACTTTCTAAATTTAAGCGTTCTGGGTCAACGGGGACAGGAGTTACGAAATTCCGTGTAAACAAACAGACAGACAGACAGACAGACGCGAGCGCTTTATATATATTTAGTAAGTACAAAGATTCTATGAGACCTTATAAAACCTGCTGCCAAGATGATATGATGAATAGGTTCTTATCAACTTACGTTTCCGCGTTATCGCCTTCTCTAGAGTCTGGAAACCTGTTTATTATCGCTATCCATGCCTCATTCAACAATAACTTCAGAAAACCTGTTTCCTAGACTTAGTGTCTCTAGATGGGCATGACGACCCTGAACACATTTAACCCACTTCGAGGAACAATTGTTTGGACGACCGCCACTAAACTTAACCATAGGGACTTGGGGGTAGCTTTAGATGATATGCTCTATCTATCGTGCCGCGATATCGGGGATATATGTCCGCTTATGATCTCTCGAGGAGTGTAGTCACCTGCACTTCTCTCCTCACTTTCCAAAGGAAGCTCCACTTCCTCAACTCGATGATCATGAGAAGTGGGTTCCTAACTATAACCCTGTGAAGAAGCGGCAGTGGGCCAACAAAGGACAACAGCCAGGAGCCATCCCAGAGTATGACCTTCGCTCCAAGGAGGTTCTCCTGTTCTGTTGGTGGCCAGAATAGGAATTGAGCGCTGAGAGCTGAAGGAGAAGGGACAGGCGATTGACGCTTACACAAAAGTTACCCAGCTGCGGAAAATGAAAGGTCAGGTCGACCAAACTCGTGGATCGAATGCGGAAATCTACCTTCACCGTGACAACGCCCAACCTCATACCACAAAGGCGACCCAGGCCGAGCTGGAGAAGTATGCATGGCTGATTGTCGCCCACTCTCCTACAGCCCTGACCTCGCTCCTTCCGACTACTGGCTGTTCAGCCATCTACAGCGCTTTCTCGACGGCAAAAGGTTTGAAACAGAAGATGATGTCAGGGGGCACTCGAAGACTTTTTCAAGCCCGGCCCCGGGATTTTTGGGAGGAAGGAATCGACAAGTGGCCTGGGCGTTGGCGGCGAGTAGTGAATGGTGATGGTTCATACCTCTTCGTTCGCTGTTGAGATATTTTTAAAAAAAAGTCGGGGAAAAAAGCTCGTGCATCAACCTAATACTTTCTAACTTGTCGAAAAACACACGCGTGTAAGCATCATACACATAAGTATACACGAGCCCTTCACCCAAGCATGCACGCACATTTCGACGTACGCAACACTTGGATGGTAATGTCATTTCAACTGCCTACGGTACTCGCATCCTGTTGCTTCATCCCTTTCAAATTTGAACGCTCCTGGTCAACGGGGACAGGACTTACGAAGTCTCAGTCGAACACACGCACACACACACATACATACACACACACCGATTCTCGCACGTCCTTAGGTCAATTTCTTCCTCTTCAGATTCCTTACTGCGTAGAAGCAAGAATAGAAATTTTACAGGTTGAATACAAAATTTAATAGGGATCTTTACCTTCTATAAAGCGCTCGCGTCTGTCTGTCTGTCCGTCCCTATGTCTCTCTTTCTGTTTGTATGGAAATTCATAACTGCTGTCCCCGTGGACCTAGGACGTTCAAATTTGGTAGGTGTACACGAGGCAGGGTGGGACACACATACGATGAGTGGTAGGACTGGACTCCGCCCACACTGGGCGAGGTTGCGCCGAATGAATGCTTGGGCAGAAAATAATAACTCCTGTCCCTGTGAACACAGAAAGTTCAAATTTGGTAGAAGTACTCAAGGCAGGGCGGGAACACATGAAGTGGGTGGCAGGACCGGACTCCGCCCACAGTGGGCGGGGTTTGCGCGAAATAAATCTTTGAGTGGAAAATAATAACTCCTGTCACAGTGGACTTAGAATATTCGAATTTGGTAAGAGTACCCGAGGCAGGGTGAGAACACTAATGGTGGGTGGCAGGATCAGGCTACAGAGGGCGGGGTTTGCGCCGAAATTGTCAATTTGGCTCTAGGGCGTTCAAACGTTGCAGGAGTATAGGCGGCAGGAAGGGAACACTTATGGTAGGTGGGAGGACCGGACCCCGTCCACAGAAGGCGAGGGGTGCGCGAATTGGCTATAGGGCGCTCAAACTTGGTAGGAAGGCAGGTGGCGGTATGCGAACACCTAAGGTGGGTAATAGGACCGGGCTCCGCCCCTGGAGGAGGGGGGGGGGCGGGGTTTGTGCGAAATGAGTGTCTGAGTGAAAATCCACAGCTACAGATCCCGCGGACTTGGAAAGCAAAATCGATAGGAGTAGAGAGGGCAGGATGGGAACACTGACAATAGAGGAGGCCTTGGAGGACAAAACCCAATCACCGATGAATCCTAGCGCCTTTGTTATTTACGATTCAGCCTTGATTCTTTGATATGTCTCATTCGACAAGAAGGGTAAGTGCACTGATAGGGACCGATTATGAAATTTGGTTCACTTCTTGCCTACGACCGCTACCCAGCGAAGTTTGCGATTGAATAAAGGATCACGGTTTCTCACTGCTTTGATATCATTCATGACAAAACTTATCCGACCGCTAACAATCTTGGATTCTCATTTAATGGTGTGTCCGTAGAGAAAAGGAGCTACACTCATAAAGACTTTTGATAATGGTATTATTATGACTCGACAACATTTGTGAGCACCATTCAAGGCTCTGAATGCCTACCAGTTGAATCTTCGATGCGTCATTATTTTTAACATCAACAGCGACAGTTCGAGACGGGCAGATTCTAATCAAAGACATAGGCATCGGCACACTTTGAATATCGTTTGCATGCCCTATTGTTCCTCTACTGAACTTCGTGTTCCGAAAAGTATCATTCGTTCCAGAGAAAGAGTGTGCTGTTTGCCGTTTATCATAAGTAGGGGAGCCCGGTAGGACTATCTCATTCGAAAAACGAACGAATGATACTATATATAAAGCGGTAATTTTGTGTGCCTTCTTGCATGCCCGTTTGTGCGCCCTTCCGAAAGTCACGTAGGCACGACGAAGAAGGTGAATGTCAAGTGAGTGCGGTGAGAAAACAGTTATGAAATGGGAAGTCAACCAATACTCATCATATTGGTTCTCTAACAAGTCGTAGGTAAGCGGTAGTGTCATGTGGTGCACGCATTAGCGTGCGTAGCCCAACTGGTAGAGTATAAAAGTATGACTTTGATCAACGTCGTTCTCGGGATGCGTCTCCGCACTCCTCTACTATTCAGGATCGCAAAGGTAAATGTGTGGGTGGCTTATAGATTGAATAGTGGCAGCCAGCCGTTATACGTCTCAGTGCTTTTATCCTTTCATAAGAGTATGATTCCAATTAACCGATCAAGGAGCGGTGGAAGGCAAGGTTGGCTTAGGCGAGTATCCAGCCGTGTGTGTGCACTATTCACCAACATCTCATACAAAAAGTGTTTATAACTGAAGAAAGAATGAAGGAGATGTTTATAACTACTGATTCGATGTTCTGAGTATTTATTTATTTATTTATTCATGCGTGCCATTTCACGCG